TTGATTTGTCATTAACAGTAACTCTATTATATGTCAGAATAAAACAGTTCATCTGCATGCAGGTATGAATTTCTGTAATACAAAAATGTACATTCACTGCTATCTGAAACAAATTATTAAAGAATTAATTTTGAAATGGTTTTCAATGATAACAAGACTCAATCATACATTTAAAATATTCCATAAATTATGTAATATAGTGTATGTGATCTAGAGATAAAACAATAGTAACAATATTTCCTAAGTAAAAAAGAAGCACCTGTTAGTGTGGTTTGTAAGAGAGAACAATGATACCTTATGTTATACTATATTTCATAATTTGAAAAAACCATTGAAATAAAATAAAAACTGTGTAGAAAATGTAAATCATTTTTTTTTTATATAGAAATCTTAGGCACATAATTACTATTTGTTATTGTTGTGAGCCATTGACTAGATTACAGCTCTAAGTAGAACTGACCCACATGGTTTCCAAGGCTGCAGAAACTTATTGCCACATCTTTTTCCCATGTAACAGCTGACTGGTTGAAACAAATTATTATTATTATTATTACTGTGTGTTGCTGTTGTTGCAGCTGTTAGTTGGCATAGGTTCCATGTCAACTCAGCAATCCTATATACAACAGAACAAAACACTGCCAGGTCCTGTGTCACCCTCACAACTCTTGAATTTGATCACATTGTTATAGCCACTGTAACAATTCATCTCATTGAGGGTATTTCTCTTTTTTGCTAATTTACCAACCATTTTCCACTTTAACAAGCATGATGTCCTTAATTCATACACTGGTTCATTCTGAAAACATGTCCAGATACGTAATATGAAGACTCACCATCCTCACAGCTAAGAAATATTCAGGTTGTACTTGTAAGACAGATTTGTTTGTTCTTCTGCAAATCCATTTTACTTTCAATAATCTTTGCCAGATCATAAGTCAAAGCATCAGTTCTTCTCTGATCATCCTTATTGCTTTTCTAACTTGCACATGCATATGTTGTTTTTGTAGTTAGGTACTCTTGAGTTTATTCCACCTTATAGTGACCCTATACATAGCTGAAGGAAACACTGCAGGGTCCTTCACAGTCATCAGAATTGTTGTTATATGTGAACCAATTGTTGCCATCATGACAATTCATCTCATATAAGGTCTTCCTCATTTTTTCTGACTCTCCACTACTAAGCATTATGCCCTTCTCTGTCGGGGTCCTATGTCGGGGTCCTGCCTCAACAAAGGGGTGCCTCAATGAAGTATGAGTTTCACAAGAGTGGGAGATCTGATAGGAGAAAGATATAGTTTAAACACAAAGAAGACAGACACACAAGTTTAATGCAAGCTGTCAGGCAAGCTAGCATACAGAACTAGCTTAGCCCCAGTCTTTTATTGTCAAAAAAAAGGAAATTGACATGGAAGACAATAATGAAGAAATGTGGTTTAAGACACTAGGTTATTCATGTGATATAGGACACGATGATTCACAGATTTAATCTTACAATATGTTCTGAGTACATCATGATTTTCATAATAATCTAAAATTCTTATTTCTCTGAGAAAAGTTCAAGCAAGCAATTATAGCTTATCTATTAATTCCCTGTTCCTGGTCCTCCTATGTCAATTGAGGAAGCTGTTAATAGTTTAGCTACTAGGGGGAGGTTCAATTTATTCTTGTACATGGACATCAAGGGCTCATGTGTTTAGTTAAAGTTCAAATATGACTGAATAGTTAAATAAGGAGCAGTTCTGACATTCTTCCCAGGTGGCCACCGCCTGCTCCTTAAGACGATCTGTTCCCAGGACCCCACATACTGCCAATACCTTCAAGGTAGTGACATTTACAGTGGAACTATTAAGAGAGGCAATGCATATATTGCCATTATTAGACACCATTTTCTCAGAAGCTACAATCACTGGAATTAGAAGCATAAGGGACAAGTATAGAAATGAACAGTATAAGAGCCAAAGAGAATTGTACAGAAGCAGCCAACCAGTGAGCTTGCAAAAACCTATGCTCCCGAGACATCAGGAGATCACTTCCTCAGCCCTCAGGGTCCATGACTCGCAATTCTCACAATTCTGAGGAGGGCCTTGAAGTTGGATTTTCGTCCTTGTTAATACAGGACCTCAGCTTCTCAGTGCGTGCGTATGCCGTTGCCGGCACTTCTCCAGGAACTGGTCCTTCCTAACAACATATCCTGACAACATGTCCAAAGTCTATCCATCATTGCTTCTTAGGAGAAATCCAGCCATACTTCTTTCAAAGCAGATTTGTTCATTCCCCTGTCAGTCTAGGGTTATTAAATAATCTTTGCCAATACCATAATTCAAAACAATCCATTCTTCTATGGTCTTTCTTAATTATTGTCCAGTTTTGAATGCTTATCAAGTGATTAGCAACACCATGGCTTGAATCAGGCTCACCTTCATCCTCAAAGTGACATCTCTCTTTAACATTTTAAAGAGGTATTTTGTAGCAGATTTAATCAATGCAATATGTCATTTGATTTCTTGACTGATACTTCCATGAGCACTGATTCTGTATCAAACAAAATGATATCCTGTAAAACAAGCTATTTGTTAGCAGGTATGATTGTCTCCATGCTCTTTTGACAAAATAAGGTATGTATTTTTTTCTATTGTATATTACTATGGACAACACTGTGGGAAATTAGTATTCCTGAGCATTTAATTTTGCTGATAGACCTGTACATAGACCAAGAGACTGCTGTTCTAAATAAAAACAAGAGGACACTGAAGGATTTTAAAT